TGTATTCATTATTATCAATCTTTTTATTATTTTTTCTGTTTGCACCTTCCTTTATAGATCCATCCTTCATTATACCGACCAATTTGGAACTACTTTTAAACTTGTCTGTCCGTATGTCCGACTTGTTTTCTTGCGCTTGGGCTCTATTTAAAATAGTTTCGATCGCTTTTTATACAGAATTATATAACTCAGAGCGTATACGTAATTTTTAAAGTTTGTTGCTGATTTCTTTATAGAGAGTCATCCATGAAACATCTTGCAACTCTACAAGTCCTTAGGATTAGGGACCATTGCATTTGCTTGTAAATTTTTAGACTTAATCCTAGCCCTTCTAACCCGTTTTTTAAAGTTTTTGATACAACGCCTATAGACGGTATTTTTATAGGTATTACTTTTACGCTTTCAACATCCCTCTGCCAGTCTATTGGTACGATAGATGTACGTATGTATGTATTCGCTTATTTTTTCTGGGTACTTTTCAATTACATTTCCATCATTTCGTTCAGATAAAGCAATAAAATGCAAATTTTTGCTCTCTTCGTTAATCACTGTGATGTCTGGCCTATTATGGACTATCATTTCTTCAGTTGGGATGATTCTGTCTCAGTATATTGGGCAGATTTTTGGCCATCTTTTCCGGTTGCATTTTTCTAAAAGAATTAAATGAATTATTTCTCCTACAAGATCATATCTGTGCGTATAAGCTCTCTTTGCGAACTATGTGCCTTTCGATGTTAACATTCATATCTACATCGATCGCTTAAATAATTTTCTGCGTATTTTATTTGATCTTCTCCAATAATTATGAATCGTAATCATAGTTAAGATCTTTATCAACTTATGCTGTATCAATACTTGCTAGCCTAACAAGATATTTTATCGCTCGTTATGGTAATTGCCGCGTTAACTATGATGAAAGTAAGCTGACTTGCGCAGCTTGGTTATGTCCAATGTTTTCGATGAATGTAAAAAGTCTTAGCGCGAAAGATATTCGGTCTTAGTCCACCTTTTGTGCGTGACGAAATTTTCTACTTTATTATACTGGTATTGCGGCAAAATGTTTGAATGAGAAATGTCAAATTTTCCAATGCAAATATCAAAGCAATAAAAACTAATATAGGTCTAATTATCTTCACAATCCAACAGGTTGCAGTCTTATGATTAATATTATTATTCGAATAGTTTTTCATAAGTGTCGCTTTGCTCTTTTCATTCCCGCAAGTGGAGGAGGTGTGTTCATTTTATGGGAAAGTTTGCAAAACTCAGAAGTATAACTTCAGAAAATGTCTAGACTATATCAAATCCTGAATCGATTTAGAAAATATTCCTTTTTTTCATTATTATATGACGAATTGGGTAGGAGATTCCTATTCGGGCAATAGGGCTGCGGTGGAAAAGGAATGATGTTTTTACCGACTGAGCACTGAGCACTTACTGCAACAATGAGCAAGGAAAAGTCTAGCGCATTGAGATTTGAGCCCGCGAACACAAGCTCGATGGGCGGGAAAATTAAAATTAAAAAAAGAAAAATGAAGATATGACTGCTTCAAGCTTAACGAAAACGTTAAATGTTCTTACACGGAGGTTGACATCGACAAGGGCCAGAATCGGTCAGAGAATTTGCCTAACGATCACTTGAGAATACCTTTATTTGTTTGCACTATCGAAATAATGGAGTGCTTTGCTCATTACTTGTAAGCAAAATATGCACGTCTATGGTCTATGGGCGATTTCGCAGTACCCCATATGAGGATGGAAAGAGTAGGCCATTCACAATAGCGAAATTCTATTTGTTTATTTCTTTTTGGGAGTTTTTTCGAAAAATTAAAAGACTCATCATTCATTCATTCATGGTTGTCTTACATGTTTTAAATTTTAAATAATATATTCATTTGAAACTTTATTCATTTAAAAAACTTATCTTGCTTAACAACCCTAACACTTGTGGTGTTAATATACTTTAATGCTTTTTTGAGTGTCGTAAATTCCTGCAAAAGTGTACACATTTTTTTGAACATTTTAAATATATACACAAAGCATTTAATGCCATTAGTAAAATACAAGCGTTATCACTTAACAGTAACTCAAACTTAATCCTTTCTGTTTTCTTTTTTTTGTTTCAGGAAGAATAATGTATTCATTCTCACTTTGTGTTTTTCCTGGTTTCTCCTTTTACTTTAATGCCTGCGTACCTGAGCTCAGATATTTTACATATAATGTGGACTCGAAATATAACACATATGTGGCTTATAAGCGCATGAGAAATGACTACGACCGAATAAGCAATGAATGTTGTATGTCAGGCATTTGCAAGAATATGTCTTCAGATGTTGTATATAAATTACTTTAGGGAGTATTTCCATTCTCAGTGAAATGTTACAAGACAAAAAAGTAAAGCAACTCATGACAAAATGGCGAAAGATTTTATTGGAGGAAAACATTTTTGCTGAAGGATACATCTATTATTCCGTTGAACTCTCTTTGAAAATCTTTTTCGGTTTAAGGGAAGGGAACGGCAAGTTTCTCCACAACTACCATTGAATTAAAATGAAAAATTATATTCCTATGCCGTGAAGTGGTTTGTAAAATCGAATTATTAAAAGAATATCGAATTAAACTGGTGTTGAGTTTTTGTAAAACTCCCAAACTTCTTAGTAGACAATTTGGCGGGTGATGCAATAAACGACAATTCAAAGTAGAAACACTCCAAAATGCTATATCGTGTGTTTAAAACCTCACATCTTTTTATTGAGCGTTTTATTTTAACCGTGATATGCATATTGTTGCCAATTTTATCTTACTTTTAATTTTTTTTATCTAAATCTTGTTTACCAAATTAATTTCAAAATCAAGAGGAACTTGAATGTAGACAATTGGAAACGATATGCATTTAAGTGTTAGCGCCTTAAAGCATTAGCATCTAGAGCTATCAGCTTTTATTGAACAATCAAGCGCAATTGAGATTTGAATCCACGAGCATTGCGTTGTTAATCGATGTCCTTTCCCTACTCGGCCGCTCAGGCGGATTTACTTTGAAAACTTTCTTAATTACTCAGTTGTTTCATGTTCATTGTATTTGGTAGAATATATTATGAACATTGATGAATACAATAGAAATTTTATTTAGTTTTTGATAATTGTCGATATTTCTCGATATACTGAACATAAACAAAAGCTAACAACGAATGCGTTGTTTAGGTGCAGAAATAATTCCTTATCGGTGTCTTTTCTATGAAAAAGCACTTTTTCTCAAGGTAAGAGTTCAAATATCACTAAGCGTTACTTCTTTCATGTTTTAGGCGGGGCATGAATTCCGTATTAGCGGTGTTTTGAGGGAGAATGGAAGAGAAGAAGTCATCCTTTGAATCTAATGGTAACCAGATGGAATAATGTAGGGTAACTCCTGTTCAGTGCTGTTAAAGTTTCCTGGTCGAGTTTTGGCATATGGGTTGGAAAGCCATCACGTTCTCATTTGTAGAACATTTCGCCTGCTGTGTTGATAGCATTTCGGTGGAGCAATCAAACTATCGCACGCAGTTGACCAGATATAATATATATGTGCAGTTGTTAACGGTTCTCCTGACAATTGGTTTTTTTTCGCCTGATCATGGATTTTCGACTTCTGTATTTTGTCCAATTTTCGCCATCCGTCAAGTTCACCATCAACATCACTTGTAGTATTGACCTTGAACTAAGGAGAAAAACGAGCGCATGCTTTTCTTGCTTTTATCAAAAGTTCCAAAAAGTATGTATTATATGTATTTCAGTTTTAAGATGCTTCTACCTTCACAGGGAGAAAACGCTTTGTGGCAAATGCTTACAGGCAAGGTGAAAGGATTTCATAGAAAAATCGATAAGTAACTATGTTTGCAATACAATCTGCTACTCGAACGTACACTTTACAATGTGAATATCCCTAACGCATAAAGAAGAAGATTAATCTCTTTATTTTGCGTATGCGTTTATAATACAGTTTTTTATTTTTTATTTTAACGAAATGATATCAAGCAAGTAAAATATGAACCTGCTCCTTGTAATATCTAAAAAAAAAAAATAAATAAATCTCAAATTAAAAGCGATTAATTGCGGGAAAAAATAACTTTTCTTTTTCTTTTTACCTTAATCACCGTATTTAAGGAAACAGTGAAGAAATTTAAGCCAGTTAAATAGAATGGTTTCCGATTCAAAGCGATTGCCATAGTTAGCAGTTTCATTAGTCGTACATTTTCGCTGGAGTCTGAGGAACGTGCTATAACAAACTCCCAATTGGAATTGTAGTACACACTGCTGACTTCGTCGGTCTGCGATGGCGAAAACAATCAATGAAAGCAAGAATGTATTTTTCTAAATTATAATCAACTTTCATAAATACCGTAGCTATTATGGTGGAACCCAATTCACCAATTATCATAAGTTCTTGAATTTTACCAAACATCCAGAAAATGTAAGCAAAACTGCCCAAAGGATTCTATGAGACAGACATTATTGAAATCAAAGAAACTTGAATTAGATAAATAAAGAGATTTTTTGCCAATCGACGCTCACCATGTAAACTTTAGAGGCCACGGCACACAAACACATTGCCGCGAATGAAAATAAAATAAATATGCGAAAAGAAAATTCGTTTTGTATTTCTTGAGCGAATAAATTGAGTCGTTCATTTTCATTAATCGTTGCCACAACGATTTTGCGAAATCTTCGCGCGATCTCACTATTACTAGGATTCTTTAATAAATTTGCAGTTTTCTTTTGTAAATCCTCGTTCATAAGTAGATAACGACTGTGTAAATGTAAAACGACTAAACCCAAGATATTTGGCTCAGCGGAAAACAATGAAACAACTAGGAAACCTATCCAAATATTACTTAGTAGGCAGGGTAAGTAAATCGGGAGAGATCTGTACTCGAAAGGCGGTATCATTTTAAATGTTAACTCACGACTACCCCTGCTTAGTAGTAGTATGAGAGGCGTTACAATAAAATTAATCAATGTTGCAACATACATGCTCGAGAAAACGTAAAGAGGCCAAAACCTTGGCTGAATCTTCTTGTATAACGAAGGATGTTGTCTTCTGATCGAAATAAAATATTGAATGAAATTATTAATATTCTTAAATTAATTTTACATTAACTTACTCATCCACATAAATATCGCTATAGAATTTTCGTAATAAATTTTTGAATTTATTTTTTCTATAACCCAAAGTAAAGCCGCGTATATGCGCTTCAATTAGAACTAAATATGTTGGTACACCATTTAATAGTTCGTCCAGATTTTGCATATTAAAGCGTAAATAACGAAGTTCCGCGTCATTGGTTAGCACAAATATGATAAAAGCCAAAAGCCAACAAAATCTGTCAAAAAAATACGCCCACCTGGGTGCATCGTCCTCTAGAGGCCAACAAACTATATGAGTTAAACGAAACATGGCAATCGGCCAAGAGAGACGCACCAATTTGCCATCACTTAATTTCGGACGATACAATATATTCATTGTTGATGCGTTGTTAATAAACGCAGAACGTTATGTGTCCCTTAGTGTCGTCTCAAATATTTTTATATAGTACGTATAACGCAAACTTATATACAGAGTTTTGTTTATAATTTTTTCTCAGTTTATTTTCAAATTAAAAGTTTTCTATAATGTTGGTGGCAATTAAGTTATTACTGCATAATTTGTTTGTGTATAGTGGATTATAAAAAAGTTTTGAAACAAAGTTTCTCTCGATACCTTATACAACGAAGGACTGTACGTCAATTAGGTGAAATTTATATCTTTTTACTTTTAATTTCTTGAATTATCGTAAACACCATATTAAACACTGTTTTTTTTTTTTTTTTTTTCTTTTCTTTTCTTTTCTCTTCTAGTCTATTTACTCGTCTATCATAAAATTCAATATACATTGTCTTCCGTTCTAAACTTTTAACTTTGTTTTTACAAACTTTTCAACTTTATTTATTTGTTTAATTTTTTATATTCTTTTATTGTTGTTTAGTTGTTAGTTGTTATTGTTGTTGTTGTTGTTGTTGTCCCCGTTATATGAAAAAGTTTTCATATTACGCGTGTATGCATGTGTGTATGCATGTGCGCATTTATTTATATACTTTTAATGACTTGATTTGATTTTGTTTATTTTTTTATAGCAAACTTGGCTAACATCGAAAGTAGGCTTCAGTTGTTTCCGTATTGATGATGTAGAAGTATTCGAATTTAAAACAAGTAAGAGTGCTGTAGTCGGACAAAGCCGATCACTAGATGGCCTAAATCACTTTACTCAACTCATAGTACACCATAAATTTAGAGACATTACCTTATTTTTATGTAAATGCACAGTTTTCATCAAACTCCTCATATTGGAGGATATTCAAACGTCAATGAAGTCTAAAAATTGTCAAAGCTTTTACTATTTTCCATTTGCTAGGCAGGTCTATCTGAAGTCCTCCGAGGTGGTACAGCCATACGCGTGCACGAACTTAGTATATCAATGTAAGGTGTGAACAATGCACAACAGATAGTTTTATATTGCAATCAAAAAGTGTCCGGAATTAGCTAAATACGTCAGTTGTTGGGTAGTTTGTAAAATTTATTACAGAGAGTTTATTACTATGTAAGGTTGGCCAAGGAGTAAGCTTTTTCACAACACAGTCCCATCGAGCAACATTCAGTAGTTTTGACGCTAAGGTTGTAGCGAGCTTTTCGAAGTGCATCTCTTCATTGTTGGTGATTTCGGCAGCTTTGGGAAGAAAACCATAAATTCCGCAAGTAAGATGCCGGATAAAACAATTCGAACTAATAACTGTGGCAGTGCCTTGTTGTCCTTTCTCCAAGATATGGACTTTTGTTCCTTGATTTCGTTCGCGCTTAAATGCGAACTTCCACTGACTTGGAAAACGGCGCATTCGGTTCACTATGAAAATAGTGAAGATACTGTGATCAGTTATTTCTTCATATCTTTGTTTTTTGATTATCATGGTTAATTTTTACGAATTTTTTTTTTCCAAGGCATTCAACATTTAAGATGTCCACAAGGCCAGAAAACTACCGACAAATGCTTGTTTTCGATGGAGAAAAGATGCCGCAACACGTCTTAAGCCAATGTTCAGTTTGAGTAGTATTTTCTCCCATCCACATATGAGATTCAGATAATTCCGTTGGTTTGAAAGCAATGAAAGTAACATTACTGCAGTTTGTAAGATCGTAGCTCGTAAGCAAGGAGATCCTTTAAAATATTTAAATTTTATTAGGGTCTAGATGCATGGGACCACAGTGTTAAGTTGCAGAATCACAGAAGAATTCGCTTCATTGACGCTTCTAAAATTAATTGTGTCTAAGTGCTTAAAATGCTGACATCTCTGAAATTGTTTAGCCATAAATCTCCCTACAACGCGAATCTTGAATCGCTTAAGCTTATACCAAAGATAATAAATTAAAAAAATAGGGACTTTTTTAAGTCTTTATCTATGTGAAACTTATAATGACCGATTTAGTGACGCGATCATTTAAAAAAAAAAATGTGAATAAGTAGAAAAGTTTTTCTTAGGACGGGTTCAACATAATTTGCTCGATACTCTTTGACATAAAATGGAATGTAATGTAAAATTTTAAATTCGATCATACACGATGCCGAAGAAACATGAAAATAAAATAATTGTTTGTAACATATCCACCGATATGTGCATTCAGGTGAAGCGTTATCGCTAATGGTGGAAGATGAATGTGACTAAACGGTAACGGCCGGCCACATCAAATACTGCACTAAAAATAAGAAAACTATATTCATTAAGATCTTAATTATGCAATAGATTAAGGTTTAAAAATCCGATCTACCAGCGCCCCATGTTTTATAATATGCTTTAAAGTACGCTGCAGATTTCGTTTGTTTGATATTTTTGTGGAAGGGCTTCGCTTCTTTTTCTTTCCTTTGGCCTTTTATCTGAATTTGTGGTCTATTACGGGAATAACCATGAGTGAATCTCGCAGAATTAACATCAGTTTTTGGTATTAGGTCGCTTTCCTGTCGCGGCTAGCAGGCAATCAAATGTCTCGATTGATTACTTGTGAAACACAATACATCCATACTTGCATAGCGGAGAGAAAGTGTTAAAACTTATTACGAAAGCAATAAACACACGATTTGGTTTCGTGTATATGGGACGAAGATCACAATTTGTCATTAGTATTGGAATGTTGCCCCTGTAAGTGCGCAAAAAATAGCAAGAATTAGACGATATACCCCAGCACGGAAGTGTTCAAAGATCATGTAATCCCCAAAAAAGCCTAAGCGAGTTTGCCACAAAGATTACAAGATTGCAACTCTATTGGAGTTTTTACTTTGGCAGTACGTTGGAGCTGGAGTTGGTTTGCTCTACTAAACCACGAACTCTCAATGATCCCTATTTACCGAAAAAACTCGTGCTATTCGGGAAGTAAGAGTTGATTTCTGTGGAAAATTTGCAAAAATTGGTGTTCCAAGAGGAAATTTTCCCAACGATCCAGAAGCGGCCATTACATGAAATCATTTGCAAATAGAAATGCTATCGGCCCATAACTAAAATAGAAGCAAACTTACTTTTTATTATAAATTTGAAAAGAAAAAATTACTTATTTGTTGACCGTATGTTATTATATTGAATGCTTTTTTCATAAAATGGCCTTTCGTTATCTCGAATTATGTTCTGTATACAGCATGTTTGTTGCATAATAAATTGAAGAGAAATTATTTTCATATTACAAAAAAAGGTACTCGCACTCTTGATGGACACAGTGAACATTCCAAGGACAGGTTTACTTAATGTGCTTGGAAACAAATGCATTTTTACACATAATTGCATCGTTTCACTTCTCCCTCGTTGAGAGTAAAAAAATTCTTTTAATCAATTATTTAATTGAAATTATTAGGGGAGTTACGTCAAGTGCTTTTCCCTTTTTCAAAAAAAGAAAGAAAATATTCTCATTGCTCAGTTCAAGTACTTATAAAATTTCTCTCTTTTTTTTTTTTTTTTTTTAACTACAACAATCCTTTTAGCGCTTTTTTCAATTTGTACATAGAAACGATAATTAAATTTTCTATAATTCGCGTAATAATAAGAATGCTTCAGCAATCAAAAGCAGTTTTCCAATGAATTCGCTAATAAAATGTTATTCATAATAAAACATATTAGGTTTCCCAATCACACATAGTTCGCAATTCAACATTAATTGAAAGAGTTTCATATAGGTTTGTGTGACATATTATAATACATTTAAATTAAAAAAAAAATAATAATAATAATAATAGAAATGCTTTTGATATTCCAATTAATTTTGGTATGTTATTCATTTCATAGCACACCTAACGTATGAGCGCGGCTTAATAAAGTTTCGCGCGAAATTCATACGCACATCATGAGCGCACAGAGTATAAAAATCAATATGCACACGCATGTAAGATGGCTAGTTGGTTTATAGGGCGAATTCTCCAATTAAGCCAAGATTTTACAATTCTTCCTCTTGCTCATATAATTCACAATTATTCGTCTTGCTCATATAGTTTTACTCCTTGTGTAGATGGAAAGCTCTAGTTTGGTCCTTTCGTTTCCTTCGCCTTTTCAAAAAGGTATCCCATACAATTGCAATGCAGGGACGGAATCCCGAAGACAATGTGGCGAAAGACGTAAATGCTCGTGGCATAACATGGTTCTTGCCCGCTGATCATGGATTTGTTCTTAGGCCCTGCCATTGCGCTGCCCTCCTTTGGAATAACATATCTGCAGTGATATTCCCCGTCATTAATGCTTCCACTTTTGAGTGAAAAATAAACAAATACTATTGATTTTTTCTTCCTACTTTGTCCGTAAGACTTCTTGACCAACCTCCTACCTAAGCATGCATAGCGGACGTCCCCTTAGTGGCTGGTCAAATATAAAAACGAATTAACAAACTGCATAGCAATAAATAAAAAATAACAAAGTGTATGTTAAAGTTGCAAGGCACAATTTTCAGACTCGATTTTTAAACTTGCCCGTCTATCCGTCTATGGTTGCAATGCTGCCAATCTCAAAAATTGACATAAAAACCTGCCATTTAATGCGTACTCTCTTAGTCGATGTCCACCGATTAAGGATGAATATGAGCCTGTTTCGTTAACCTTTTTGTAACTTGCAATTGAAAACGAATATTAAACTAGATATTAAAACACAAAGCCACCGACAAGCGAAATACACACAAATAAGTATAAAATTTTAACTTACGGCCTATAGGAGAGACTAAGCTAAAACGAAATACATATAGTCTATGCATTTTATTATTTTGAACTGATTAATTTTTCTCGATAATGATCAATATTACCTAATCTTCTACGTTCGTTATATCCATGGATTCTTCGAAAAAAAAACTAGAACATTATTAATTCCTTAAATCAATTACGATATGTAGTCGATATTGATGAACGCCCTAGATTAAGTTACAGTTTTCGATATTCGTTGTAAATAAATAAATGAGTCCGCTATACATAAAACGTATTCAATTTTCTACCCTAAACCAGTTACGGTAAGGGTATATTAAGTTTCCGCGGACGTTTGTAACCATCTTTTCCATCTTTTATTATACCTTGTCTGTCCGTTTGCTCGTCTGAAGTCTGTACATGTAAAATTGTGTTCAAACTACAGGTCGTAAATTTTAAGATATTTTGATGAAAGTTGGTATACTGACGTGCTTTGACCGAAGGACAGACTTTATTAAAAATGATTCGGATCGGTCTACTTTTTCACCCCTCCCTATATAACGCCTAATTTTGAAAGGTCAAATAATTGCAATTTTTCAAAATTTCTCAACAAATGTCACTAAGTAACAATATGTCGAGGTTCTTTATGGTCTAAAAGGTCTAATTTTCAATACT